ATTCTTTGTAAAGACGAATAATTATTCGGGGAACTTGACCAGCTGTGTTGTTGTATTGAATAACAAAAGGTATAATTTGGAAATCAACTTGGATGTTCATTCCCAAAGGATGCATGGTTTGTAATTTGTTTATCCAATAATTTTCGCGAATGAGTCAAATTTTCTTTGTATCAATGCCAGGTTGTTCGTATATCTGTTCAATGGGAATAATTTTCAGGTCTGTTAATTGGTGATCGGGTTGATTGAAGTGTTTTGAAACGGTTTTATTAATTTTTTTTAAGTTGATGTCAGACTTATGATGGTTGAAACGGACCCTTAACGAATTTTTTGTCTCCCCAACGTATTGTTCGTCACATTATAATATTTTTGCTGTTGCAGTTGAGTTTTTCATTTACTTGAAATATGGAATCTGTGCGTCTATTTCGGAAAGAATTTGTTGGTAAAATGAAGGGACAGGTTTGACAGCGAGGGTTGTTACAAGGATAAACTGAAGAATTTGATATTGGCAAAAGAATCGAATTATTTTTAGCAGAGATTTCAGCAACGGTTGAGCTTTTAATACCTCTCAAGAACCTTCTAGAATATCCACGTTCGCGCAATTTTTGGAAAATAATTGAACAAGCCTCCTCGAAGTCCTTCTTGCGCGTACAAATTCGGTGAAATCTCAAGATCTGCGACTTTATAATGCCAGAAAAGGTATGTTTAGGATGAAAAGATGATTTGAATAAAAGTTGGTGAGTATCAGTGGGCTTGAAAAAAACTTTAATATCTAATTGATTGGTTTCATGAAAATTGGTATCTTTAAAAACTGTGGTGTCTAGAAAATCAATCTGTTTGTCGCTAATATTAGAAGTTAATTTTACAGAAGGGTGGTGGCTATTGAGATTATCAAAATATTCCCAAAATTCATCTATTGTATGAGTCCAAATTAAGAAAATATCATCAAGAAATCTTACATAAAAAATTGGTAGTTTGGGACAGAGGAGTGAAATTTCTCTTTCCCATTCTGCCATGAAAATGTTTGCATAAGAGGGCGCAAAGCGTTTTCCCATGGCAGTTCCTGAAGCCTGAAGATAAATATTTTCATTGAAAGTAAAGTCATTACGTTTTAAACAAATTTCCAAAAGTTCAAGAATTTCTTTATCTGGTCTATCAGATCGGGCTTTCGCTCGAATGCCTGCTTTACAGCGCGTAATCCAGAATCATTGTCAATTTTAGTATACATGCTTTGAACGTCTTAAGAGACTAAAAGGGCATTTTCTGGGATCACGAGTTTCTTTACCTTTTCCACAAAGTCGTTGGTGTCTTTGATATGGGCAGGATGTTTTGAGGCAAGAGGCAAGTGATCAATGTATTCTGATACCCTGTACGATTCGCTTCCACAATCGGAAATAATTGGGCGACCTTTTGGGATTTTATTTGGAGAGAACCACTCAGTTTCAGGATTTTTGTGTATTTTTGGGAGGGTATAAAGATGTCTCTGACGTGGTTCTTTTTCTGGCTTTAAATAATCAAATTGTTTTTGCTTAATGTAGTCTTTCTGAGGTAAATTTTTCAAAATATTGGTTATTAATTTAGAAGTTTCTTTGTAGATCGGATCCTGCAAACGACTGTAATGTTCAGGATTGCTTAATTGAGATTCGGCTTCTTTAACATAATCCTGCCTATTTAAGATCACACAACAACTGCCCTTGTCGCTTTTCTTGATAACAATATTCTTGTCATGTTTTAGAGCGTTCAAAGCAGTACGTTCCGCGTGCGAAAGGTTGTCTTTCTCGTTTACTATAGGCAAACGAGATATTTCATCATTCATTTCCTGAAAGGTATCCAAAATGCTTTTGTTTATACAACTATCCACGGGTGTGAATTTCGATTTTTCAACAAACTTGGTGATCGGACCACGAGAAGGCGTGTTTCTGTAGAAATAGTTTAACCTTAAATTTCTCTGGAATCTCTTTGTGGCTTCAATTAGTGGAGTATGTGACAAAGGTTTCTTGGTAGGTATAAATTTAAGCCCTTTATCTAAAACTTTTTGTTTACTTGGAGAGAGAACACCCAACATATACCCTAGACCTACACCTAAACCTAGACCAAACTAAGATTTAGGCCTAACCCACACTTAGACCAGACCTAGGTCTAGATCTACCTTAATCTAAAATTGACCTAACCTAGATTTAGATCAAATCTATACTTAGACCTAACTTAGACATAGACATAGACCTAACCTACACCTAGACCTATCACAATACCATGCCGTACCTATGTTGACCAGATGTGTACCATAGTTTATTTTTGTCTTTCAAGGAATCCCTGGTTAGGACAGTGGTGTGATTCTAGGCTGGATATGCTTACTCTTGACACATGGTGCTACGTTTTTCATTAAAGAACGCTCCCTCATTTTTGTAGGTGTTTGTTATTTTTTTTTTACATTACAACCTTTGAGATAAGTTCCCTCCCTTGAACTGAACCGAATAAAAATATTTTCATCAGTTACCTCCATTAAATTTCTTTAAAGTTGACCAGTCAATTTAAGTCACATTGCTAATTTGTGTGTATGTTGAGCAGCAATGGTGGGTATAGGTGCCATGCAGGATATGCTTACTCTTCTAGACACCATATGCCACTTTTCATTATGAAATACTTACTCACTCATAAATGATAATACTTCCTCATTTAAAAAGTACTTTTCGCTAATTTTTCTGGATTTCGAATTTCGTTTTGCAAACTGGTGTAGCAATCCATGAAGTTGGGAGATATATAATGTTAAATGGATAAGAATTGCTGAGACCAGGAAGAGTTTATGGGAGTTAAAGAATTCCCCGGCTCTGATTTCGAAATCTTGAAGTAGGATTTTTGGGGGAAATTTGTTTGACAATATAGATGGATAACCAATATAAATTCGTGACATGAATAACGGTCTGTCATCAGAAGTTCCAGAACAGCTCCGGATCATTCAGGACTGAAGTCAATTTTGGTGTTTTATCCGACATATCCCTTTTATGATATGTCTCGGTCCTTGGACAGGGCAAAGAATTGATGTACAGTAACGCAAGCTTTGCATAACACGCCGGTTCAGATCCCAAATTTACGTCTCAGATATTAAATTCGTTAAATTAATGACAATATATAACGTTGCCTTGTTTTGTTATAAGTTGGTCAGCTTGTCAGAAATAACGAAACTACAAATTTAACTGACTTTAATTCAAAACAAATGAAAAGAATATTGTACAAAAATATTTTGTTACAAACAACGAATGCTGAAAATGAGTGGATGTATTTGTCCAGAAGTTCCTTCAGAGACCTTTACCAGTACATCAGATTTCGACATCTTCTAGTTATAGATCGGCCTGTATCAAACATATCAATTGCGTGTAGATCTATAATTGCGAGATTATATGACTAATTGGACGAGAAAGTACAATCAGTGTAGGATAGTAATTGTTATTTTTGACAATGTTTTAGTTTAAAAAATTAATGCTGTGAAACTATTTTTCAATTCTGTTAATACCTCTATCATTTGAAAATTACATGCAACAATTCCAGTGATACATTTTTTGTCGTTAATCAAATGCATAAGGAGAAATTCCTACAACATCCACCGAAAGATTCACAGTTGGTAAGAGTCGATGTAAAGCATAGCTTTAAAAAACTTCTCATACAAAAAATGCTTTATTTACACAAGGGTTGCAATCTCCCTGTTATCATACATATCTGCATTTCATGACAGTTTTCAACGCAACAACCTGATTAAAATGCGAATATAAATGTTTCATTGCATGTTTTTTCTGGGCCAGGCTAATTTCACTTTATCCAGAATCTGACGAAAATGTTATGAATTTGCTGTCCAGTTTATTTCCTTACTTCACACATCAGTTATTCTGGTATATTCATTGTTAAAGATGGACTTGTCTTGTTTTTTGATTGATTGAAAGTCTAGCAAAATGCAGAAAACACCAACTGAAACAGTCGAATAAAAAGCGGAACGAGAGTTTGGTCTAATTTTAACTTGTACATTCAAGTCTGCGTGTTAATCTGATTGTGAAAGTAACCGACGACACTTAACTTTCATAATCTTGTGTCATCGAATAATCGCACGAACTCAGCCGACTTATTTACATGTCCTTATAAGTAATGATTATTATCACAAAGATGTCTTCATCTCCCTATTGATACAATCTCATTTACAATTCCTTCGTCTTGTTCACATTGATAAGGTTTATTCATAACTAAAGCAAAACTATGAGATGAGCTATAAGCTGTACAATAGACTTATGATGTTAAAATTAACAGCTCAATAATCACCACAATATACATATACCACACTTTGACAGAGGTCTAGACTAGTTTTATTTCCGATGAGTTCATTAAAGAAGGTTCAACATTTATCGTGTGGAATCCGTTTTTCTGTTTGGGCATAACAGATCGTAGTAACATACTGTCTTTGGTGGATAATGTCCTTCGTACTACTGGTAGACCAGACGGTCGACGATTAGCTAGTAAAGATTGGTGGTTGGTTTCCTGTGGTCGTTTAGCACTACCTTCTGTAAAGCACGTTGGGTCACTTGAGGACAAGACGTGTCCTTGTTGACGAAGCATCCGTCCTTTCATTGGTTTTGAGCACAAACAAAAAAACTTTTCCAAGCAGCTAAGGATTGGTATTCTTCTGAAAGGAAAGGTGCAACTTTGGATTAGATAAATTTATTAAGTACGTTTGTCATAGTAAAGTTTATATAGTCGTAAGAATGCCAATTGTTTTAATGGGGGTGGCACCATAAAAATTTCGTTAACAACGCAATACATTGTACCAATCACGTGTGTATGTGATGTTATGGAAATCTTGAAGTTACTGTCAATATTTTCACATTGAAGTCTTCGGTCGCGAGATATGGTAGAACATATTATAAAATAGGCTACAGAGGGGTCGTTGGTCATTATTTGCTGTAATCGCTCAGTGAGAAGTAGCCTATACGATCTTTATCAGTAGGTAATAATAGCATTCCCTACCTTAAATTAACACATATTCTAGTACTGAAAATACCATATATAATAGGATTAGCCGCTGAGTTGAGTGGAGCAGCACTCTGGATGAAGGTTGACAAAGGGTCGTTGATGGGAATAGTCTCATACAGTTCCAGTATGTTATAGATGAAAAATGGACTCCAGCACAAGATGAATACTGAAATCAAAATTAAATATTCAAGATTCAACTTAATCCTTAATTTAATATCGACATTTTTAATCACAATTAAATTTCTGTATATGATCTTAAAAGAATCATAATGCGATATACATGTTTATCTGATTTTTTAGAAAAAGTACAATTAATAGTCGTGTTTTTAGTGCAGCTGTTATTTTTCACGAATGATGGAACAGTAATGTAAAGGTCTTGAAACTGAAAATGCATTGCTTACCTATAACTATTATTAAAGTCATTTTAATGGTTCTTATTTTAGCTTGAGGTATAATGCCACGATTTGAATTAGTTCTTCTACATACCATGTGTTCTCGTGATCCACTGTTATCTCCTAGAATAAACATACAGATTGGTTTAAATCGTTTTTCAACTCGTCGAAGCTGGTCCTGGTCCGTGTTTCGACTATAATATGAACAGTAGAACACTGTCAAAACAAAAAGTTACGATATGATCCAATGACATGCCAGATGTTCTGGGGCTTTCTTGTTTTTGATGACCGAAATACCTTCTTTATACTGTTCATAGCCTATAAGTAGCATTTCAAATTCGTAAGGCGGGGATTATGGATTTCCATCACAACTTAAAAGCATGAAACATATTCATGATCATAGTGTGCTGACTAACCTATTCTGGGCAAGTTGTGGGTTTCATCCATTCCATCTCTTCTCGACTGTCCTTTGCTCCAGATAATGGATATGATGGCTATATAACAACCAGATATGATGATAGCGGGTAATATAAACGTTACCACTGACACAAGGGTAAAGAACAACTGGAATAGAAAATATAGCTTGTAAGGCAAGGTAAGAACCACCCACTAACATCCCCGAACAACGTTCTCCTCTAAATGCTATATTTCTATGGTACTTAACTTTTTGGTTCCGAGCGATATAAAACACATTTCAATAGACAAAGGCATTATGCTAGATTTTAAAGTTTTTGATTCGTTAGGTCCCTACTGGGATTATGATTTTCCCGATGTTTGTGTTTTACTATTAAGTGTTTATAAACATTTATAAGCGAACTTGGTTGATAACAATATTACCTATTAGTTATTTCATATGAGTGTACAATAAAACAATCTGTTACCCTTAATATTTCAATTGGACATTATTAAACCTATGCTAAGTCACATTGTACAAAGGGAGACTTTGTTTAGTTAATATACCAGCATTATCGTAATGGTCAAACCTTTTAATAAAGGTGGCTTTGTTGAAATAATCTAATTGTCGATCAAATTGATTAACTGTGTTGTGTTCATTGGGTTCAAGGTTTTAAGATAGTTGATTTATCTTACGAACTATAGAAATCTGACTGTAGCACAAATGGCTATTAGAAGACTATAACAATTTTCAAATTTTAAATAAAATTTATCTAAAAGATCTACACTTAATAACCCAAACTCGAACAGATTCGAACAGCATTCATTTCATTACAGAAACAATGATGAAATCAATAATTTTCTGGAAATTTTGATTTTTGAAACAATATAGATTTGCAAAGTATTGGCTTTAAGAGACTACAGAAAATCGTACGGAAACGAATGAAATAATCAACACGATCATTAAAGCCGATTAAAATATTCATCCATTGTTGAAATGTTAGATATACAGACACAGTTCGATTATATGTAAATAAATAGGTCATAATAAGTCGAGTTTACGGGTGGATTTGGAACAAAGTAGGGCATGAATCATAACCAGAAAGTCCAAACGTAAAATAATCTATCAATGTGTTTACAAAATAGTCCCCACTTCAGAAGAAAAAAATCGGAAAAGTAATCATTTTTCAGATGTTTTCAATTAACTAGAAGTAAATCGGGCGATTAATTGACGTCTAAATGGTTGATAAACGAAAATCATTTCTTTATCTTTTACTGATACCTCATTGGAGAAAATTGAATTCTAGCTGAAATCTTGGTTATCACGTCTATATCAATCCGGGCAATGACAATAATCCTTCCTATGGACTCGGAAGAGGAAAGTATTTGCCATTTGTCAGACTAAATGCTGTCGTCATGATGTGAATAGAATATCAGAATATCAAACGAATCTGTGTGCTTGATTCGCTACCAGATATATCTCATGATATTTATTTCCGTTAAGATCCGTAGATAAACTGCAAATCTAACTAAGGAAAATTGCATGTTTCATATCATATGTCCCTTTTTACTTGAAAAAATATTGAGAGTCTTTTATAATGTCTTGGAGGTCCTTAACATGTCAGGTACCAGCCACGAAGATCAATAGTATTTATGTGTTGTGGTATTATAGGAATTACTAAAAGTTAATCTTTAACTAAACATGATAACAGCGAAACCATGTTGATACTTTAGTCTAATAGATAAGAATTTGGACGAAACTTTGTGTGTGTGTAGATTAATATTACAAAAATATATTATTGACATAAAGTTAATCTGGTCCTGAAATTTATAATGATATATAACTACTACCGTGGGCTTGTGATAGCTTGGCTGACAAGATATTTCATGGGCTTTCTCTCCGTGCTTTCTAAACTCGGTAAAAACTAGGTCATCATCCTATACCGAGGGACGAAGGTTTTTGAAGTTTTAATCATTGATTGGCGCATACATGTAATTATAACTACATAAACATTATAATGCATTCTAATTATAATCCAAATCAAAGGGTTATTTGAATATACTGTACATGTACATACTACATATATTACTAAGCCCAATCTCTTCTTGTGTATGATTTAAATGATTTCGTCTTACGATTGCAATGAACTCGAGCTTGACAAAATAGAGGGAGAAACTCATATAGAATTCACTGAGGCAAGCCCAACATCAGAGATAGTGTCGGCAACCCTCATATCAAAAACATGTTTTATCTCTGAGAAATTTGAATCAACGAGGACAATAGAAGACATATATATGTTTTATCAAACTTTTACAAAAGTGTAATTGATCCATTATACAGAAACTGTTTCTTTGAGATAGAAATTCATTTTTCACTGATAACAATCCAATGTATACCTGCCAATGCCAATATTCAGGAAAGTCCATCCAACATTGTATCTTTCCTTGCTGTTCCTCTTCGTGATATAAAAACGGCGCTGGTAAAGCAAACATTAGGGCAGACAGCCAAGCAAACGTAATCAACAATCTAGCTTGATATGCTGAAAAGAGAAAACATAAAACCGATTTGCATTGAGTGCGTAAAACAGTTAGATCAGTCAGGCCCGTAGCCAGACTTGATTGATCGGAGGGGCAAGTAAGTTATCCGGATGGGCATATAGTTTAGTTGCTGTAATTTTATTGGTCGGTTGTCAGAATTGTGCCTTATGGTAATTACTCGTGTTTGGTTTTAATACAGATTCTGTTGTCTTTCAGTAGAACGAGGGATAGCCGTGTGATGTTTTCTGCTGCCAACTGGCGACTAGAAATGCATATCTCAAATAATATCTGTACTTACATCAAAAATTGTGCTGTGTGCCTTACAATAGACATTTGAGGTCTATTTTAATGAACAACTAACGTACAATGTGCACTTATTATACAAATACCGAGGAAGAATACACAGAAGATTATGGAAAATGTTTGACTGCATACCGTAAAAATGTGATTTAGAACAGACGATTTTGCAATTGAATTATAATTTTTAATCTGAGGGCAATCCAGAAGCTATTGGGACTGGCAGAGTACGACTTTTCATGATAGCGAAGCCGAAACAGTAGTTTTGTTCATACACTTACTGCCATTTACATGACATCTTAATTTGCACTTTAGAATAACCCGTATGCTATATCTGCCATCTTTATATTAGCATGGTTCCAGGTCAGCTTACCTTGGATTTAAGCCCATGGCCAGTTATATCTTTATTTAGAATTTGACCCATATTCTATTTTATTGTGAAATACATGGTAATAATATGGCCTGGAGATTATCAATATTGAACGTCATTACGTTACTATCACTGTTCTACCAGATACAGTATTCCTGATAGGTGTTATAATCTACTTTTAGATGGTGAATTATGTCACAAGGAGACATTCATGAGCATATTACACATGAACAACACGTTTTTATTTCGTGGTTCTGGCATTTATGCAACTTTCTTGCAGTCAGAATGTCAACTTGTAACTTTTTACTCATGTACCGTGTTATACAAGATGATTAATTTTATTCCGTGGTCACTTCCATGCATCACGTGCAACGACTTTTTTGATACGAACAAATTACTGATCAATGCGCTCATATGACAACATCACTCCATTGTTAGATTAAAAGATAAATTTGAAAGACATATTGTTTCGTGTCAAGTGATTTTATGGTTACTGTCATGAACTGTAAAGCTGGGACCTCTATCACCATTATTTATCAGTTTTCTTACTCATCCCGAGAATAATGAGTTGAAGAAAAAACAAGAGAAATAATAGCTTCCAGTAACAAATTAACGTGGTTTCTACACTTAAAAACAGATTTTCTAGACTGAAGATATTCTTTCTTTCTTCAATCAATTCGCTATAATCGATTTCAAGCAGATCATACAAATTTAACGTAATGTTAGGCTCCGTACACATTGGCAAATTATATCAACTGTAACTTTTGTGATACTTGCGTTTGATGCAACGTTTATTTTGTCAGTTTATACATTATAGTATTTTATACTTAAATTTACGAAACTAGCATAATTCAGTCGAATACTAGATATGCATGATAGGTGGAAGTTCGTTGCATGACCGTGAGCTAGTTTTCGGGGTTCTTCCCAAGAAGCCATACATATCCGCCTTATGTTTGGTAATAGTTGAACGTAGACTCTCATGATTCTGCAATTTTTGTAAAATAGCCTTTACTAAAGTTTTTTCCCTGTCATTTCAAAATTATAAATACCATCCACCCAATGATTTCACCTTCAACTGACCATGAAGCTTATTGTTTATTGTAAGGCATAGTTCCAGTTTTTGAAAATTGTCCAGTACAATATAACAGAAATCATGTGTATTAAATTCTTGTCAGGTATCGATATTAGGTCTACCCTCAGCAATGTGAAACTGCGCTGAAACTTAATGTGCACACAATGTATATCAGTCAGAGGCAAGCTTTTGTCGCAGTGTGTCTGGTTCACCTGACAACAAAGTCCATAAATCTTGGTAATCCTCCTGGCTTTTCATCAGAATATTAACATTGACAATGAGCTTGAAATTGATTCAAAACAAGCAGAACTAAATGATATCTGTATCTTAGATGGGAAATAAAACCAGGTTCATTGTTTCCTCATTGTGTTTGAGTGTTACTTCATCAGTAATGTTCTACATGTCAATAATTCCATGCTGATTATTGCCTGTACAATATAACCCTAATTAAATGACCATTACAAGAAACCGTGGATTGTTTTTTCTTCTCGAATACTACATCATCTCATATGGACCAAATGTAGTCTTTCCTTATTGCTGTTTAATCAATATTGCTCATGTGTTCTGTCTAATTCATTTTATTAACACAACGCAACATAAAGTTTTAATAATTATTTTCCATCAAAGAAAAAGCTTACCACGATGTTCGTCGTGTAAATTCCATTGTTTTGTTAAAAGCATTAGATAATGGACAACCGTAAGCTTTTCTGACAATATAAGTAGCCGTGTAATTGGTTGTTACAAACAGTAAGTCATTACTTTTAAATAATAACCGGGTTTTATAGTTTGAAGATTAATTATTACCTTTCTTTCTATCTTACTTCCTTGTTCACACTTACAGGAAATTTGACATTTCTTTATTAAAAAACTTTCCGGAATATATTATCATATAAGCAAGATTTTTTTTTAATATTTAAAATTAATATAGTTTTAAAATCTTGAATCTCAGAAATTCATTGCTCTAGTCTAGGTTCCTCTGGGTCTCGACCACAAATTGGGTCGCAAAGCAATTTTCTTTGAGTCGCAAAGCAGTCTGAAAACTTTTTTGAAAATTGATATGGTTTGTGATAACTCTTTTTAAAAAAAATCGCAGGAAATGGCGCCTACAGGCTATCTATTTTTGAAGACTCCCTTCGTAATACTGCACCTTTGGTGCTCATGTCTGAGCCAAATTACATCATAATTTGAAATTGCATACCAACCGTTTGTTAAAACCGCAGAAGATAATTCTCGGTTCACAATCGTTCTTAAAAACTCGTAAAACCTCTAGTTTTAAAATATTTCTTTCCATGGGTTGGGGAGCCATCAAACTTTGAAGGGTCGCGATGTGATAGTGTAGTGTACAGAATATTCATTTATAGCTTTCAGACCGAAGGTTATCATTAGCCACAAGAATTGGTAACTTTAAATAGTTCATAGGGAATGGAAGACAATAATACAACTTACCACTTCTGGAGAAGTTCATAGGTCTGGCTACAGCATCGTATCTATCTATGCTTAATGAAACCAATACAAATGTTGACAGGTAGGTCACAGTTGCCTGGAAAATACAAATTTTATGTACACCATTTACGCATTATCATGATCTAAAACTGGGCTCTCTTGGTATCCCTGAGTAAAACAATATTTATAATTAGCATCATCGAAATAATTTCTGTAGCTTTTGTGTTAATGCATAAAATGCACACCATTTCATACTTATTACACAATCTTTTTGTTCCTTTTTTGAACAACGAGAGGTGACAATAATACTTCTTAATTATTTCTGTAAGTTTTGTGTCGTGCAGAGAATCTTTGCTAGATATCATTACGTCGTACATCACTACTCGAATTCAATTCTAGGTTTCAATTGGTATGATGGGATGTGACATTTTTACTGCAAACTAATTTCCAGAAATTAGCGAAAGGCAGCAGGATGTGTCAAATGATTCTACTGTTTTGTAAAACTTTACACCTCAAATCGTAATGCAGAAGAGCAGTGGGAATAAAATGTATCAAATTTCCTTTAACACTAGCATTAAAATCTTTAACATGAATTGATTTATTATTCCGGTGAATTGTCTTTCTTAATATGGATTGCTGCACTTAAACATCACTTGATTATTATTGGACTGTGATTTCAAATCAACAATTGTCTTTGAACTTAAATGTTATCAATTGCTTGAAGTCAATATACATAGCTTATGGCAAGTGGCTTTAGAGAAACCTAATTTGTCACATTCCAATTAACGACCCTCGATTTATCTCAAATGTCAATTCAAATTTCATGATAACAATAACAAAAAATATTCAAACGCAATTCAAATATCCGTTGCTTCCTTTGAAAAATTTCCCAAGAAAACCATTTCGTATTGTTTTTGTATTCCCTTTGGACGACAGAAAAAGATTGTAATTTATTTCTTTGTGTAAAATTGTTCTGTAGTGTTTCTTTTAGAAAGCTATTCAACAGATTTTGCTTCTACATATAAAAGAGGATCAAGGTTAATATTAAAATAGTCCTGTTATAATTATTTTGTTATTAGTTCGCAGCTGGGTTGATAAAAATGCTGTTTTTATTTTTAATTTCCGATCGGACAATTCAATTGTTGTTAAATTGTTGATTTCGATCAGACGAAGTAATGAAAAATAGAAACATAAAGTGTTACTCCATTGTGTGTATTCAACATTTTATTTGATTGAGGTACTGGCCGAATACAACAATAAAAGTGGACTAGGAAGACAGAATGTGAGAGCAATTGGCGGTATCTGGAAGAATCAGTAGGCTATATTGCAGGATTTAGTCGGCCTACGAGTACGGAAAAGAGCCATTAATGGCTCAACTTCTATATCTTAGAACCTGCGACAATCCAGTTGATAGCACTTGCATATCGTCAGTTTGTTTCGCTTATGTTGACTGCGATTGATCGAATGAGATCTTTTCAATTGAAATCGGCTTGGGCCAATCTTTCAGGTTGTCTCTGAATCAGTTGCTAAAGTACTTTTGTTTGGGTTCAATAAAGTCATTTATGCTTTGTAGCACGTGAACTGTTTGTTCTGTCGTTACTAGCCACTATTTCATGTTTTCTTATGTTTCAGCACTATGTGAAATTTAAAAGAATTTCAATCTTCTTTCTAACGTCCGATTTTTTCACGTTAAGAAGAAATATATGACAGAATATCTAATGAATTTTCAACATGGGAATCATTTACTTTTAGACTTTGTCGCATATTTTCTAATTATCTCAAGTGTGTGCTTGTGATTTACCTCCAGACAGAACTTGATGACAATTCGCAAAATTAAACAGAATATAAATTGATTAATGTTACAGTGAAAAGTTCATAGAAATATAGGATTATGTTGAGTAGGTCATGTACAATACTCTAGTTTATTACTAGTAGTTTCAAATCCTTTTTCAACGAAACCGAATTCTAACTTATTTGCAATGTTAAAGCGCTACAGAAGATAGTGGTAGGGTGAATAAGAGAAATATTACCAGGACTGCATGTCTATTCGCCTCACTTTTCGATGTTAAATTGTTAAGGACAAAATTCACATGATTGAATTATCCTTGATAATAAGTCTTGCCTTACAAGGCCATCAAGATCCTATAGTTGCTGAAGTGTTCTAAAGTATGACAAAATATACAAGGTTTTGCAGCGCAGATTATGGTTAAGTGGAACTGTTGTACAATATTCGTTTCCTTGTACTAGGAAGAATTGATCGCGTAGACAATCAGATCAGACATGTTATATTAAGTATATTAACCTTAATCAGTCTATTATAACAATTTCTTTATTAAGCGATTAAAAATATAATCCGGAGGGGAGGCCTATACATTACATTGTTCTTTGTATTAACAGGAACTTTTCTAAATGACTTGTACATCGATACTCAATAATTTCATTTCAAAACTAGCCTATTTCTAAAAATCTTTTCACCGGGGCACAAATACGCAATGGGGGTATGGTGAAATTGAAAGGATATGTCAGCCTAAAATACAAAGAATCACCAGACTTTACTCAGTGTTCTGAATCGGCACCACAGTCAAAAATATCAACTTGGGTTCTGAACGTTGATATCGCTCTTGATGGTTTTCAACAAGTAGCCTATTGCCTCAATCAATAAAAAAAAGTTTTGGTTTAGTACCACGCTATATACAAATGCAATTCAAGAACGTTAGATCAGAACTGGAGCAGAAAATCGCCATTGAAGTAATTCTACCAAGAAGTAATATAGTACCTTATTCTGTTCTGTATAATCATATCAACCGTCAAAGTCTGGTAGTAAGCAGACAATGTTTCGCGCTTTAAGAAGAAGTAAATTCTGACAGATCTGTTTCATATTCCAGTTGGTTTCTGAATATCAGAAGAAAGAAATGTGAAACATTAATTATACGGTTCACACTGCTTACGGAGTAAAAGATTATCAAATTTGTTTAAGGCGCCAATTGTTATTAGATTTTTTCAATGGATTCCATTTTCTCAAAAGTCATCGAGAGAACACATCAAAATACAATTTCCTGTAAAATGATAATCGGTCAGATATTGTCTAACAATTTCGATAGTGTTACAGTTAAAATCGATCAGCTATAGATTTGATCGCAATTTGGAAGTAGGATGAGTAAGGAAAATATAAAACTTGTAAACAAAATCATCGATTTCTTATAAATCTAAGAGGATTGAAATTAATACGATATTAAATCTTAGATAAATGTCACTATTAGAAATCTAAAGAAAGTCGGCAAAGTTTCACCAATTACTTATCTACTTCATTACGTTACAACTGAGCACTATTATTTCTAATTTGCAACATTAATATATCCCTTTTATACTTTATACATTGTCGTTGTAATTCGTTTATCTACAGTAACATTCCACCCTGTTACTATCATTATATGTTTATATCCATCCTATTTCACCCATCCTCATTATTGTAGGCCTTAAACTCGTCCTCCCTAAGTTATTTCTATTCCTTGTTTTTTTTCTTTAAGTTTAACTTCATTGTTATCATTCTAACGTCATTTTAATTCCTCTAACGTCATTTAATTCCTCTAACGTCATTTTAATTCCTCTAACGTCATTGTTATTTACTTATCCCCGTCGTTATTCTTCTATTCTTATCCCCGTTGTTATTCATGTAACGTAATTGTTATTCATGTAACGTAATTGTTATTCATCTTACATCATTGTTATTCATGTAACGTCATTGTTATTCATGTAACGTCATTGTTATTCGTTTAGCGTCATTGTAATTCGTCGACATTCGATGTTATTAATCTATTCCCATTTTCATATCCATATTATATTGCATATCTTCTCATAATCATACCTTCGAAACAGTCTTAGAGCTTTGAAAAAAAACTTCTTATATAGGAACAAAAATTAAGAAAATCTTACCTGAAGATACTGTAAAATCTTACACATGGCGTTTCCAGCATGCCATTCTATTGTTATTTTACTCAATAGATCAGTCATAACACAGATCACTCCAACCAATAAATCTGTTCAAACAGAAAAAAATCAAATAAGATGCCAATCATGTTCGTTGCATCTCTAAATATCAAATGGTTACTTTAAAGATGGGTTTCCTTATTTTTTAAGCAAAATATTTAATTGATTGGTGTTTCTAATGAATTATCATGTATTCTTAATCATATCATTATGTTCTTATTGCATATAATTAAAAGATTTAACCAATCATAAATGTCCATATATGTACAGTCTGGATAAACCTTTTGACCTTATTTGATCCGTCATTCATTTGAATTATGCTGGTAATTCTCTTCTAATTGAGCTAATTATGAATTAATTATGACATGTGAGACAAGCTATTTTTCCATGTCATTAGAACACCTCTACTTTCTATTGATATAAGTATTATATGAAAATGAGGGAACCCATCTTTGATATGTTAATCCTGTTATTTAACTGTAATGCTTTTTTGTTATTTCATTAATTTTGTTATGAAATATATATTGATATCGATGCTGATTTGTATACATGTATTTTGTTTGTCAGCATAATCTGATTGTTATCTAATATGTTACTTGTTATCCAATAGTTTCAGTTTGTTACTTTATATCCTCTTTATTTGTTATTTGTAATAATATCGTTGTACCGGTCATCAGGTACGAAGAATATCTTTAAGATCTAAATTCACAATAATAGATTAATAGAAGATTTCAAGGTACTGAAGAAATAATTTAATATTGATAATGTACCCTAGCCTTTACACATCTAAAGATAGCTTGCCAGGCAAGTTAATATACGCCCACTGGTAGCTTTGATTTTAAATAAGAATATTTAGCAGTACAGTATCAATTACCAGTATGAAATATTCAACCTTCAGACATACAAGGCGATACTGAATAATATTACCAAGTTTCATCAAAATCACGAATTTCGATTTTTCTGATTTTCGTTAGGGTTCATCTCCGGGTGATTACGCACTCTCACGCAAAGTTTCGTCAAAATCCACCAAGAATTGTGCCTTCCAGTGTGTTTACGTGATACAAATTGAACGCATTTTCAAGAACAGGGGCAATAACTTATACCAATTATTTTCGATTTTTCTGATTTTCAACAGAGTTCATCCCTAGGGACAACAAGCACTCACGCCAAGTTTCGTCAAAATCCGTCAAGAATTGCGCCTTCTAGAATATTTACGAGCGTTTTAAGAACAGGGGCAATAACTCATACTAAATATTTTTCGACGGACGGACGGACGGACGAACATGGGTGACGACAATATACGCCCCTCATTTCGCGTATAAAAAATAGAATGGACTATGTTAACTCTACTAGGAATAGTTGTATAAAGTGTACGTATTTACAAGCTTATATATTCAATTATTTAAAGGACTTGAGATTCAACATAATAGCTGATTTAGTTAGTGCAGACCAGAGGTTATGTTGAAAGATAGTATATGTACTATTAAATCGTGTCCTTGAATTAGAACCAGGTCTAAAACTAATTTTGGATGACTTTTTAGTCTATAAGAATCCACGAAAATGTTGAATTAAAAAGGTAGCGAGTTATCTTCGCTATTATGGGTTGCTCGAACCTGGAGATTTAGAGCACTGGGACGATACTTAACATATTACCAAATATAGTATTCCGCTTGTAACCATATGATCCGACAAGAATGAAGAATTACATTCCATGAAATGAGACTTTCAGAGATATGTGAACCGCAAATAATAGTAATGCAGTAACCCATTTATTTCAGATTCGCCATTCAAAACGATTCTCGAGAAAATGAGAAATATGAACCATCGCATTCCGAATACAAGGTTGAACATTGACTTATCGAGGAAATATGATGTGTGAGGGCTTGGTTTAGACACGATGCATATGAACAAACAGTGGACTGGAATAATACACTAACCTGCCAGCGCAAGATGCATTATGAAGAAGTTCATTCTGGTTTTTCTGCCATTTTTAGACAGCTGTATAGCAGCTAGAACACAAACATTTCCAACTACTATAAATAGGAACATTGCCGATACAAATGTTAGCTGAGGTACCTGAAAAATATAACATTACCAAAAATGCAATTATAATTGTTCCTTTTCCTTTGTTGAATGTTGTAATTCTATATCAGCTGCTCTCTATTATATTTCATTTATCTTGGCATCAAATTAAATTGTGTAACTTCCTTCTAATATGACATCATAAGAATACATCTCTAGGCATTGGCACAGGAAGTTTATTAGTATTACTAAACTTAGTGGGACGCTAAAGTACTTGTAACTGTGATGGTTCATACTTTATAATGCGGTCAGACTAAAAAGAGCAAACAAGAGTAAACAAGCGCAAATCAATGAAAACAAGCGCAAACAGGTGTAAACAAGCGCAAACAAGTGTAAACACGCCCAAACAAGTGTAAACACGCTCAAACAAGGGTAAACAAGCACAAACAATTGTAATAACACTTTTTTGCTTCAAAGAAATCAGCCAAAAGAAGGTAAGATTTAACGTGTTACAAAATTGATTGAAAGAGCTTTCCAGACTACTTTTGTGTATCATCTGAATATTATAATGGTATTATATATATGATATCTGACATGATTCTCGTATAATAATAAAATAATTCTTATTGTGTATTTGAGAACACTAAATTGCATCGTACTTTAGTTGACATGATATACAGTTAAACTAAATAGTGAATATTATGCTGATCATCAGAGACAATTATCAATCCCAATAACTGTCGTTATACTCTTAGTTGATGCATATGTCAACTTAGTATTCAGAATCCGCAAAGGTCAAACTAATATTAATAATGTTTGTTTGGTACACTTTAGTTAGTTAGTTTCACGTATCATTCAAATGGTCTTTTGAGAGTTCACACAATTAATGATGTTTATTTTGTATTTTTAATGCCTTGCAAACTTGGAAGTTTGTTTGTTTCTGTTATCATTGCTTCGTGACTGGTAGTTTTAAAAGAGAAAACGCACCTACTCTGTAGGAGACGATGAAAATTGATAAAACCTTGGTCCTAATTGATTGATACCATCTCATGTCTACATCAATATGTTCTTTATATCTTAAGATTATGTTCTGACATACTTGGTTTAAAAACAAATAGATTTTGGCTGAGGATTAGACATAGTTATGAAACATCTTAGAACACACACGTATATTTAAATGTATATAATCCTGACAAGATTCAATCAAGAAAGCTAAAAGATCGTGACGGTTAACTTAACACGAAAGTCGATTATGAAATGGTTCTGCGCGGTATCAAATGATAGTAAGTGGAGTTAACGTTATACTTTGCCCGGTGCATTCAATGAGAACTTACCCACTTGTAGCTATCTTTAAACAACCTATTTTTCTACAATAAATATATCACCAGTGGTTATGTAGTTTCATTATTCTCAAGGTGTCGAGGGTTCAAACCCTCAGCATTATTGAAGTTGAAGTTCACCCGGGTGAAAATTCTAGAATTTTGAATTAAAAACTTGAACTTCCACCCGGGTGAAAATTAATTTTCACCCGGGTGACAATTCTTGAATTTATAATTAAAAACTTGCATTTTCACGTGAGTTGATAATTCAATAATATTTTATCAAACTCGGGTGAAAATTCAAGTTTTTAATTCAAAATTTTTTGGATTTTTCACCCGGGTGAATATTAATTTTCACCCAGGTGACAATTCTAGAATTTATAATTAAAAACTTGCATTTTCACCCGAGTGGAAATATAAGTTTTTAATTAAAATTCTAAAATTATCACCCGGGTGAAAATTCAAGTTTTTGATAAAATATTATTGAATTATCAACTCACGTGAAAATGCAAATTTTTAATTATAGATTCAAGAATTTATAATTATAATTCAATAATATTTTATTAAAAACTTGAATTTTCATCCAGGTGAAAATTCCAGAATTTTGAATTAAAAACTTGAATTTCCACCTGTTTTAATTTTCACCCAGGTGATAATTTATTTCCACCCAGGTGATAATTTTAGAATTTTAATTAAAAACTTGTATTTCCACTCGGGTGAAAATACAAGTTTTTAAATCAAAATTATGTTTTATAATTATATTCCAGTTTTTTAAGAAAAAATTAAAATAAATATATGATGTCGTATACGTAATACATGTAAGGGCTTAAGCTTATCAGATATCAAGGATTGGATGTCTACACACAAGACAAAACAGAGCTTGTGGTTTTCGCTCCAAAACACCGCGTTTAACACATATTGTTGTACAATCTTTCTGTCGATGGCACTATTTTAAGTGAGTCAAACTGCGTGAAGAACGTATGCGTATTCTTCGATAAATCTCTGAGTATGGAACAACAAGTCAGTGCCGTTTCCAAATCGTGTTTTTATCAGATACGGAATATCGGGTGTATCAAACCATACATTACAGAGAATGCATGTAAAACATTAGTTAACTCTCTTGTAACATCCAGTCTAGACTACGGGAACTCTTTGTTATGTAACGTGAACTGTTCATTATTATCAAGACTGCAACGCGTTCAAAACACCACAGAAAGACTTATTAGTAAAACAAAGAAGTTTGACTCGATAACTCCTGTTCTTAAACAACTTCACTGGCTTCCTGTGCAATATCGACCTCAATATAAAATTTTACTTTATGTCTTAAGTTACTGCATGGAATAGCACCTAAGTACTTGGAAGAACTGATCAAACCTTATACACCTGGTTGATTACTTAGGTCATCTAACGAAGGTCTGATACAACAACCGAATGATGTAAAAACTAAAACTTACGGTGAACGATAGTGCTGGTGCCACACTGTGGAACGACCTTCCAGCACATTTACGTAAAGAAAAATCGCTCTCTTGTTTTAAAAAAGGCTTGAAAACTCATATTTTTAGACTGGCGTACTGTGATGTTTAAATTGCTGTGATGATTGTTTTCCTTTTAATGACAGTGATTATATTTTTTGTTTAAATGACTAAGGTTTTATCTTTGGCTGTACTATTTTTATAAACATATATTTGATTTTGCCAATGGGATAAGTTTTGCCTTTTAATTGCCGTTTTATTCATTTATTAGTTTATTTTCTTTTTTAGTAGGTGTCAATATGTAACAATTATCGTTCTTGAAATTGTTTTACTTTATCCACTTGTTTTTATTTTTGTATTGTATTATTCTATTTTATTGTGTGGATTGTGCTTTAACTTTTGTTCAGCGCTTAGAGTAATTTTTATTAGATACGCGCTTTATAAATGTTTTGTAATAAATAAATAAATAAATAAATAAATAAGGGAATGTCCCCGCGATGTTCTCAAAGGTAAAAGAATTGCGAACATATTTTGTTGACTACAAGCCAAATCCATTTTATAAGGTTATTAAGTGTGTGAATGATCCACTCTACAGAAGTGAAAGATGACGTTGTGAAAGGAGAAAAAGAAATAAACCAAGAACTAACGATCCGAAACGCAAAACGAAACCCGAAATCCAAAACAACATTTTGGCAAAACATAGGTATCAGCTAAAGAATTTTCACTTGAGGAACTATACAATCATAAGTGAGTAAGTATTTCATATTGAAAAATGGTTTCAGGAAATAATCTTGTTGATGGTTCTCTTTGATGGTGATTGCTCAGATAGCCTTGACAAATTGTTTTTAAACAGCTTAATGCAGAATGATATTAACAAATTCATCAATCGTCTTTTTAAACTTGAGCTCCACTTCTGTGAGTACGACGGTAGGTATCGCAACTGGTGTGGGATATGCGAACTCCGGTAACCCAATGATAAAACTTCGAATCTTGAAATTGGAAATTGGTACAGTTTCGTGTTTTGTTATTGCTTTAGGTTGATCATCTCTGCATTGCCTCAACGGATTCGGGAATGTAACTGTAGGTTGTAGGGCGGAAATAAGGTAAATACATTTTTAAACGCCCACATGAAAAAGGGGGCGTATATTGCCGTCACCCATGTCCGTCCGTCCGTCGGTCCGGACGGTCCGTCCACAATTGCTCGTAAACATTCTACAAGGCACAATTCTCTACACGAAACTTGGTATGGTTGTTTGTAATCACCCAAGGATGAACCCTATTAAAAATCAGAAAAATCGAAAAATATTAAGTATGAGTCATTGCCCTTGTTCTTGAAAACTCGTTAAATTTGTGGCTCATAGAAACTGTTAGAAGGCATGATTCTTGCCGGATTTTGACAAAACTTGGTTTTATTATTCAGTACCGCGCTGAAGATTGAATATTTGTCTTCTAGAGTTTTCACGAGCTAAAGATTGAACACGTTTTCAAGAACAAGGGCAATAACTCATACTCAATATTATTCAGTATCGCCCTAAAGAGTTCCAAGGAAGTGTTTGACTGAAGGTTGAATATTTCATACTGGTAATTGTTACTGTACTGCTGAATATTTTTATACATTATCAAAGCTGCCAGTGGGCGTATATTACCTTGCCTGGCAAGCTATCTTTAGAGAGTTTATTGACCTGAACTTCCTCGAAGAAACTTGTGTCAAATGGCTTAGAAAGATAAGAGCACTTTGAACATGGCTTCGAGTGTTTTAAGTAAACGGTCACTGACTTTTTATCCACAAAGTTTTCTTATACATGTACGTCATAGAGTTTGACAATAAAGTTCTGGCCAATGTCACAGTCAAAAGAACAAGGACAGTGAATAACTATTGCGCAATGAGCAAGTCTGAAGGCAAGTGCTTCAAGTCTCTTCAGTATTATGACAATGAACTATAAACCTTTAATGTAATAGAGTTAGCCTACCTATCGAATCGTTCATTATAAATCTTCCATAAAGAAAAGATGTCATATGTATATGTATGTATGTATGTATGTATGTATGTATGTATGTATGTATGTATGTATAAACAATACAACAGAACTAAATTTTGAATCCATAATTGGGCGGATTTATTGTGGTGTTAAGACCTGATGACATATTGTTTACAGTAGACTTACCAACTAATTATAGTCACTCATGTAAATATGTTTAGTTAATTTCCAAATAACAAAATTATTATGTTTCATTTTATTTTTATTTTGCAATTTTTGCATATATATAATGTAAT